CGAGTATATGAATTTGTTGACAAAGTGATAATGAATCATAATATGATATTATATACGGGGTATTCTATTTGAAAAATCAAAGAAGCCGCTACTTTATAATAGAAGCGACAACGCCGCTTCGTTTAAAATATTTTAGGCGTGTAGGTCATATTAACATTATTTTAGTTTATTTCAACAAGCTATATAGTATGCTCTTTGGTATAGGTCCGTCATCGTTATTCATAATATCGTTGTGAATCTGTATCGTAAGTATTCAACTAAAATTAGGCTTATACAAGCAGATATTTGCTTTCTAAATATGAATATGAAATCCTATATGAATGTTCAGGCTGCTGCATGTATATTTCATCATCTATTAATTCTGGTTGAAGAAATGCCGTTACAGCATTTCGTAAACGTAACCAGGTAAGTGTTTAGTTGATCACTGTACATTTCTGTAGTGTGTTTTGTAGCGATTTTGTGTGTTGTTATGTTTCGAACAAAATAACTGTAGCTATTGACAGTTTTTTAATCTGTAATTAAAGCAATGTTAGTTATAGGGGTATAACGGGGATATGGTTACGGGGCAAGATGGGGTGCCCCATTATGCCCCTCAACTGCTGTCCCCATTATGCCCCATTGAACTTAAAAAAAATGCTTTGTTAATTTGATCATAGGTCTTATCTTGTTTTAGGCTTAAAAATTGTGAGAACGTATAAAAAGAAAAGCTCGAGAGGCAGCTGGTCTATAGAAAGCATGAAACAGGCAATCGATGCCGTTTTAAGCAAATCAGCAGGCTACAGAAAAGCAGCCCAGCTATACGGTGTTCCACAGACCACTTTGGAGCGTCACGTGGCCAAAATAAGGAAGAGTGAGCTCTCTCTTAACTAACTCCAGGTAATTTTAAGCCAGTATTTTCGAAACTAGAGGAAGATGAGCCCGCGAGGTTTATTGAAGAAATGGAAAAACGTTTTGTTTGGTTTGACCACCGTCGTTCTACGAAAATTACCGTATCAGTTGGCGAAAAAAAATGGCAATACAATTGCGATGAGACTGGAATATCATGTGGGTCTAAAACAAATAGCAAAATTATTGCAGAAAAGGGAAGAAAACAGGTAGGATCGCTTTCATCAGCAGAACGAGGACAAACGATTACGGTTGAGATATGTTTTAATGCGGCTGGTACTTATATGCCTCCCATGTCAATATTCCCTCGACAAAGAATGAAGCAGGAGTTATTGGATCGAGCTCCTCCAGGAACGACAGCAGATGCAATGTTCGAGGCTGGATGACAACTGAGATCTTTATGACATGGTTCCAACGATTCGTCAACTTTTCAGGAGCATCATTAGCTTCACAAGTCTTACTTCTTCAAGATGTTACACATACGCAAAACATAGAAGTGATTGAACATGCACGCAAGAATGGTGTCATAATGCTTTGCTTTCCCCCGCACTGCACCCATAGGCTGAAACCCTTAGGTGTTGGCTTCATGGAACCATTGAGTGTATATTATGACCATGCTTGCACTAACTGGTTAAGGTCGCACCCGGGGCGTGTAATAACAACTTTTCAGATCAGCCAAATATTTGCTGATGCTTATATTCAAGCTGCAACAATGTCTACAGCTATCAATGCGTTCAAAAATGTGGCATATGGCCCATCAATGCCCGGGGCTTTGTTTTTCCCCAGGCGCTTGATGGTCAAAATGATTTCTTCTTCGTATGTGCTTCACTTTATCAATGTTTGCTCCGGTATAATTGGAGCCGGCCTATTTCTGACTTCATTAGCCAGTCTGGTTTTATTGGTGAGTTCTTCACAGACATCCGGTTCTAGTCGGTGCACGCTGGAAAAATATTCCCCGAACAACTGAGCCTTACTGTCGTAGCTTTGTTTCAGATAGAAGCATTATGTCTACATTATGTGTATGAATGAAGTTAACAACACTGGGGTATTTGTTGCCAACTCCGTTCACATTCAACATACACGCCTTTATAGGCATTTAGAAGCTGTAACTGTTGATATTACTCGCGAACGTCGCGAATGCATTCCACTTTTTCAGGGGACTATCAGCCCCTGCCATCAATTTACAAAGGTCATTTGTCGCACGAATGATCTCTGAGAGGTTGACGACCTCGTTAAGCATCTGGAAGCAGTTAACTGCTTCCATAAGGTGCTCTTGAGTATCCACCGGGGGTCCACTCTCCTGTTCTCCCTGCACAGGCACAAGCCTGGGGACAGGGGTCTTCCTGGATGCCTGTGTTTCCAATTGCTTGGATTTGATCTCCTCCGCCTTCTCTTTGTAGACTTTATAGTCCCTAGAGTTGGCGGGGTCATCTCCTCCGCAATTTGCGCATTTAGTCGTTTCAGTTTTCGGCTTCTTACATTCAAAGGTTTCGTGTCCTTCTGCGCATTTTAGGCATCTCGGGGTCCTGTAACAATTGCTCGTCGCGTGGCCCCATAGCTGGCACCTATGACACTGCACCAGCTTTCTGGTATTTCGTTTGAGTTTCCACTTTTTGGTTGACCTTTTCCATTGTGGCCTTTTTGATTCGTTCTATTTTGTCTTTGATGTCATTGGAATTTTCTCTGGTTGGAATTGTGATCTTATCGGCTTAAAGTTTTTATGTTGTAGTTGATTTTGGCGATATTCCAAAAAACTAGCCCTTTTTTCGGTTAAAAAACTTCACACGATAAGTTTCTTTATTTTCTCACTACGATTGCTTATCTTCAGAACGGATCTTTACAATTGAACACGTCTGACTTCAACGGTTGCGCGCAGCGAACTGTTACAACGACTTTTGAAAATGCTTCTCCTCGCAGTCCCAGCAGTGCAACTAAGAAACCAAACGAGAAAAATGTATCGCAGAGGAAAAAATGTTATTCTTACTTCAACACCCTACAAAAACGAACTTGAAGAAAGAGAACGACTTGAACGGACGAAGAAATGTTCAAATCCGAAAGAAGGCTTGAAAAAAGGCTTAAAGAAACAAAAGATCAAAAAAGTTCACTCCGACGTTGAAAATATAGATAAGGACGCTTTATGCATTTATTGCATGGATCTTAATCATAATTATTTAAAGTCCTCGGAAGTTTGGGTGGCCTGTCAACTTTGTGGATGTTGGGCACATACAGCCTGTGCAGGTGTAGATGACGACAATGAAGAAGAAATCCACATCTGCATATTCTGTGAGACAAAATAACTATGTACCCCGTACTGCCCCAAATTGGTACCCCATACTACCCCTACCCTGGGGCATGATGGGGTTTTCACTACGGTTTCGTAAAATTAAAATTA